CAAATACGAATGTGAAGTTTATTTACGCATTATTTTATTCAACACCTAAACTTGAAGCAACCGAAAAAAAAAATGCGAAACTGAAGAAAACGAACGATATAAAATGGGATTTATTGGTTTTTGTCCACAGAAAAGAACACAAAGAGACCTCTTTTTGCAGATAAAATTATACTTTTTGGTGGGAGAATAGACCCCCACTTCCCATAGTCGCCCCAAAGCTGAAATGTGTTCATTTCTGATGGAGATCCTGTGATAAAACATTTTGTCTTATGTTACACAAAGAAATTTTCTCAGATTGATCGCAACATTTTTAGACTAATTATGCATTGGAAATTGGAATCAATACCAATGGATTCATGCTGTCTCACAACAGCGTGGGTGTCCGAATCCGGCTCTCTTTCATTCCAATTCGTGAAATCCACCGGGCTTCCATCCATCCATTCAAAAACATTTCCTTTTTTCGGATTTCTCTGAAAACAGAGATTTTTATGTTTAGACATTGATATTTCAATCAGACATGATCATGCTCAAATCATGATTTATGTCACAAAAGGCGTCCGGATCTGAAGATCCTTCTGTCACAAAAAGTGTCGTGATCTGAGGATCAGAGCACCATCTAAAGGTTTCGTGACCTAAGTCACTCCACCGGATGGCAAAGACCATGTGTGTAAAGTTATAGTAGTTCGGTTTCGACCCTGAGCCAAGACCGAATTATGACACTGGGTTGGGACTCGTCATTTGACGCCCAGTGTATCGAATCTAGAAAAGAAAATGTAAGTCTAGAAGAAAATTAAAAAGATTTTTGGAAATGAATTAAAAGAATCAGACTACAAAATAAACTATAATCTATAAAACTATAATTTGCATGTGAAGCTCGATTTGTTTAATTTGTATTTAAATCAAATGAAGGAATCAAAGCAAGAACTGAAGTTTCTCTTGCATATGAATCGATTTCCATCGGTCGGCGGATAGGTTGCCCATATATGACCATAGGAGTATCAACAGTGCTCCAAAGCTAGAAGGGTGAGCATTAGTCTCCACAGATTCTACCAAACGCTTCCCAACTTTAAACACCCATAACAAAAATCTTTGGTACCCAAGAAATCTTCTATGGTCTTTTTTTTAATTAAACTCAAAATTCTAAAAAGATGTCTAGTGAAAAATACATTAAGCATTTTACAGTATTTTTACATGAAATGGTTCATCGACAGGTGTATGTGCCATTGTCGTTCCCAATAAGCACACCAATCCAACAAATCCGACGACAGTCCACCCGTTTTGGAACATTTTCGAAAAAGACTACGTTCAAATTCAAAGCTTCTACTGTCTACTTCTACTCAAACTGCACCCTTCTATTAGAAAGTACTGTTTTGTTAAGAAAAAAACACATCTAATAGCGAAATTTTTGTGTTTTTGGGGCCCTTTAAGGCAAAACCTCGATAGTGAATGATTCAAGATCCCTTCCATAGTAGACTAACGAGTTTTTACTGTAATAGATAAATAGAGAATACAGCCAAATTGATGAAATAAAACCGCTAGGCTAAGACGAATATTCAGTCCAGAAAATTGGCAATTTATCCGCTACCTGAATATCATAACCTCAAAATTTTTAATTAGATGAAATTGAAAAAGATATGTAAATTGATAAATGCAAATTTTTGAGTGGGGGGGGAGAACCAATAAGAGAGAACCAATAGAACTTAATCACAAACTGTCTGTGTCTGTGTCTGTACAAAGCCATTGGGCCGGGGTTGTGTCGGGCCGGAAAAAATGGAAGGGGTCTAGGCCAGGGCAACAAAAAGAATGACGGGCAGGCCCATATACATGCTTGGACAGATAAGTCTCCAATACACAAATGTACTGGTATTCATTTACTGGAGACAACCTTGAGACACAACTATCTGATATCGAAAAACATTTTCAGGCTTCCTTCTGCATTGTACACTCTTTGAAACTTCTCAATAAGCGCTTCGATATGAGTAATCAGACAAGACGTTTGCACAAGAAATTGATCTACGGTTTGACTATTTCAAAATGAGTCCTGTCATCAAGTGATCATCTCCTAGATTCTCATTCCATTTCTCACTCTTCACACATCCCAGCCTGTACGTATGCGTATCTTATGATTTCAGATGTTTTTCTACCACAATGTATTAAGCGATTTTATCAATTTCACCTTTAGTTATCAATAATCTTCTTTTATTATTTGGAAGCTCTCATGCCACCGTTTCATCGTTTCATTGGCTTTTCACTGAATCATATTGGAAATTTCTCATCAACAAACTTCGAATCCGACACTATTTTGGACAAAAACAAAATCAAATTGTTTCAGTGGCCTACTCAAATGATATAAGACAACACAAATCAACTGTTTTATTTGAATTGTTAGAGATTAGACAACATACACAACAATTTGAGTTTTTCCTTTTCTCCAATATATAATTTAATGATCGGGGCGACGGTTGTCAAGATTTACGGCCAATTCTTTAATTCTCAACAATTATCTCGAAAAGCATGGCTATTCAAAAGTTCATGTGATCAGACGTCATTTGTTTTTTTGATTTCTCAGCTACAATGCAAATATTTCAAGAAGTTTTTCCTGTTTTCGGGATTGCACTTTTTTTGACAGGTTTGGGCTCAAAATTTAAAAATACTATAAAGTCTAATTGAAAAAAAGTTGTAGAGTTTTGTGGTACATGATGTTTGCCGCTTCTAACTAGTAAGACGAACCCAATAAGCTCTTCTAAGCTTTCAACAGGTTCTCATAACTAAAAATGGCCAATTTAGTACTTATTGGTTATCTCCCCTCAAACCAGCGGACTGAAATTTTCCCCACCAACCTCCCCACCAACCTCCCCACCAATGCTTCACTGGTGCAGTTAAATACTAATTTCGCGCATATGTCAATCTGGTTTCTGGTTTCGCATTGCCTATTTAGATTGTTTTAGAAAATATAGAAAATGTTTTCATTCTAAAAACAATTGCTATAGTTCTAATTTTTATGCAAATTTTATTGCTTAATAATACCTATGAAGAGATGAGAGCCCCAATCCGAAAATCAGAATGTTATATGCAAATTGATAAATGCAAATTTTTGAGTGGGGAGGGGGGGAGAGAGAACCAATAAGTACCGCTAATTTTTCAAAGAATCAAACATATCATTACCATTTTTCAAAAGAGTTCTACTTTTTAAATTATCGGCGATATCATTAGGAATGGCATTTATCCTTTTGTCAGGCATTTATGTACTCCTTTTGTTTCTCTACGACGCCAATTGGACACTTTTCGCCGAGCCTCCTGATCTTGATGAAGAGCTCTACTTTCAACTGATTTTAACTCTGACATCGATGCCTGATTGGGTAAGAAGATCTAGGAACTTGTTTTAAAGCCTTTCACTTTACACTTGACTTTTCGATTATCTTCAGGCTGTCGTCTTCAGCCTCATTCCCACACCAATAGCTGTATACTTTGCCATCACAAACGACAAGTTAACATTACCAATCCGGTTGGTGTTTCGTTCAACTCCTTCTATGACCATTTCCAGAGTGTTGGCCGCAGCGGAAAACATAAATAAATTTGTCTACGCGATCTTCTTCACGTTTGCCGCATATTGCTACAATCAAATGGACGAGAACCACATGCCGTGGAATCGCTGCTCGAGCTCGCTGCAAACTCTCTCGGCCACTCTTGCCGAATATGTAGCCTACTATAATTTGAATGATATTGCACAATACTGTCAGTTGGTTATCTCGCTTAGGTGAGCTCTCATTTATCCACAAACTTGAGTGAAACGATATCTTACAAGCCCGCTTGTCTTCGAAGTGCTTTGTAATTGGCAGGAGAGGCAAACTTTCAGCTCAACTAGTTCATCCGTTTTTTTCTAAAGCAGACAGACCCACATATTCTTTATTCACAAGTTAGGTGCCTGTTCACTTAAAGGGGCCCCGTATCAATCGCGGCCGGGTGACCATAAAAATTTTTTTACGGCAACCACCTGTTTTTTTTATTTCAATATCGCTGTTTTTATTATAAAAAGAATAAAAATCACCCGGCTAGAGTGATTTGATGGGTTTACAAATTTTTGGAGACGTTGCAAGGCTTGGAGAAAAACCCCAGACCACACCTCGGCACAGTCAGATGATAAAATTAAAGATAAATAAAAAAAAAGCAAAAACAAAAAGTTCATCTATAATCTCCCCTTCCTCACTTTCATCTTCGCTCAAGTACGGCTGTTCCTCAAATCGGCTTCCTATCTTATCAACTTCCAGCCCATCTTCACCAGAAGTTACCTTTTAATTCCTCATCGAATGATACAAAAATTGGGCTAACTGAGTGATTGGAGGTTTCTAATTGGAGGTTTGACTACGGTAGTTTTCTCAAATAGGTGCCTTTTCGAAAACGCATTACTTGAGAGGAACACACTCTAATAGATAGCTTAGGGTGTTTTGATGGCCTTTTGCATTAACTAAACATAAAATCTCCATCTGGAAAAAGGCATCTAGATATGTTAAAAACCAAAAGTGTAGATCGAAAGTCTAAAGAAAACAAAATGCCTGACTTTTGCTTTACTTTCGCACTTACCTTGTAGATGAACTACGCGAGCCTTGCAGCGTCTCCAAAAATTTGTAAACCCATCAAATCACTCTAGCCGGGTGATTTTTATTCTTTTTATAATAAAATCAGCAATATTAAAATAAAAAAACAGGTGGTTGCCGTAAAAAAAGAACATTGGCTCACTTCTACAACATAAAAGTAAAGTGTTTGTTAGAAACAATAGTACAATAATTATTCAAACTTATTTATTTTGTTATCCTTTCAGTCGTTTCTTTGCAGTCTCTTTTGATGGTCTCTATTTCTGTCATACAAAGAAATGGCCCTTCCTTCAATTACTCTTTCCATATATTTTCCGTATTGCAATGGTCCATCTCAGCTATCTCTACAGTTATGGAAGCAACACTGACGAATATCGAGATTATACAATGATTGGACCATTTTTTCTCATGTGTGCACTCGATTTGATGACAAGAAGAAAAGTGAAACAGGTGTTTGTTTGTAAATAAATTTTTTAGCATAAAAAAGTTTTAGTTGAAAAAGAATGGAAAAGCGTCGAGAACGGAGATGTTATTGATGACACAAGTAAGCAATCGGAAAACTTTCTTACACTTTACAAATTCAACTTTTTGTACACGGGTCGTCCAACTAATGAGTCCCAACCAGTGTTATATCCCGGGCTTGGTTCAGGAACGAAACCGGACCTCCACTTTTTTACCCACAAGACCTAGGATTATCCGGCTGGAGAAGCCTTCGGCTTTTGAAACCTTTTGCGACAGAAAGATCTTCAGATCTTGATGCCAAAATTATAACTTAACTACAAGTATACAATATATTGTGATTTTTGTGAGTCTAGCTTGTAAACTTTTCGAAATTTGGCAACAAAATCTTTGAGTATCAAATTTCAGATGCTCACCTGCTCGTTTGTGAATATTTTCAACACGATCATCTATACTCTTGTGTTTATCGTACTAAACTTATTCTTTGGCCCTTCCACTTTGGCAATATTCACGTCGATGCGAATCATTATATCAAAATTTCTTTTCAGTTTTTTTGTCAGGTCAGCTTTTGCATAAAGAGGCTCTTGGGTAATTTTAGGGACTTTTGGAAATTTCCTGGACTTTTGATGATTCTCACCTTTTTTCTATAAGCTTGTATCTTTCAGATTTTGAGTTTATACAAATACTAGAACACTTAGGGTTCCTCCAAGTGACTCCATCTACTTTGCTCGAATCCTTAATAAGTCATCCATTGAATCCCAATTGCGCTCCTTGGCAATGAAAGAGTATCAAGCAGAAAATTGAATCGCACCGTCATTTTCTTCCTCTGATTCACGCACTCCTCCAAAAATTGTGTCTAGGATAGCTTCGATAATTTTAGTCGGATAATCGTTGATAAGATCGATTGCAGGTTAAGGCTCAATTCCTTGTGGTAGAATGGTTGGCCTTAATACATGACCAGCGCAAATCGCAAATAAAATCAAATAAAAATGAAAACGCCAAGAAATCTCATTTTTTGGAACCATGTATTGACACCAATAAATGTCAGGCTCAACACTTTTATCTGTACGCTTATCTTATCTCTTTTGTCATAGGCATTAAAGAGAGAATCAGAAGTATAGAGAAATGCCAGCAGTGTAACTGTCAGTCAAAATAAATTGACTTTGTAAACCATAAATTCATAGAAAATTAAGTAAAACATTAAAAAGTCCCGAAAATTACACAAGAGCCCATAAAGAAGTAATGATTAGGAAATGTTCAGTACAATCAGTGTCTTCACCCTCAGGAAACCGAAAGAACAAAGAGTCCAACAACGAACGGGAAAATCTATCACGGTGAAAAGTTGTGAATGATAAAAGTTTTGATCATTGACTCAAAATGCGTTTTTACAACAGCCACACGACACTTCAGGGTCCATCTGCAATAGAAAAAGAGAAGACAAAGTGAAAACGAACGCAAAAAGAAACAGAGAACAGAATTGCTTTCGTCGAGCGGACAAAACGACTTTTTAGCACAAAACTTTCTTTCAAATAACTAAAACTATCGTAACCCATGTTAAGCCTCGCCCCTGTTTTAAAAATGGACCTAAAATTCAGATTCCGCATAGCCGAAAACCCCCGGAGCAAAATATCGCTGAAAGCTGAATACTTTGTCTTTTAGCCGATGGAGCAAACGTAATTACGGAGCGTCGCGTTTGCGCACAGACAGACACGTCTCTTCTACTTTATATACAGTAGATAAGTGATTGGAAAAATTTCTCGACCAACACAACCAAAAAGAGCACGCTTGGAAAAAAGATTTAGAAGCACACAGATAGTATCAAACAGAAAGAATACAGTAAGAGAATAAATACACACTAGAGATTGTCAAGCATTGCAACCAGATTAAGTGTACTCACGGTTCGTTCGAATTTCTCGTAAATGATTTGGAAGTAAATTCAACAGTTTTACAATACGGTTTTTAAGAAAGTCCTGAGAGATTTTAGAGGAAAAGGGTTGTGAAAAGTTTTCCATTAAAATTGTATTCGGCTTTCTGAGACATCAGGGCTCTCGTTAAGGGTTTGAATCAATTGCTAGACAAATTAAATTAAATTCTTTTTAAAACCCCAATCAACTCACCTTGACTTCAGCATCGAATTTGCACAAATGACGCAAGTAATTCTCAGCAGATGATTCAAATTTGGACTTGATCTTTCTAAAGAACAAACGGGTTGTTTTAAAATGTTAAAATTTACGTGAATGATTCATGTTTCTCCCCGAAATCGGCAAAAGTTGATACGTCCTTGAGAGTTTCCTCTTTCGAAAGCAATTTCTAAAGAAATATCGAATTCAAACGGTTTTATTTGATAAAAATACCATTTCAAAGATGTCAATGCCCGCGAGAAGTCCCTTGTGTAGTTCAGGAACCAAATCCTTGTACGTTTTGATGACATTTCTTGACTCTTGTTGAACTTCCATCAACATTTTGTTAGCCTAAACACATGAGATTAATATCGTACGCCTTTCGATTCCAAACTAACAAAACTAATAACAAGATGCAAAAGATACCTCTTTTTCCAATAGAGGAATGGCCCCATGTGGATGATGTCTCTTGTAAGCACAAACAGCACAAATCTATAAATCAAAAAGGGCTTAATCAATATTAACAATAGTTTACTTCAAAAACACATTTACCGCAATAAAACATTTCGTCGACAATATTCTAAAATACTTCTATAGAAATCAATTTAAGTAGGCATACCTTTTTGTGGCATTCGTTGCAGCTACATTCATCTTTGACATTTCTCGCAACATTCATCATGGTCTCCATTTGTCGAGTCATTTCGGGCAGCTCATTTAAAAAGTCTAAAGAAAAATTAGTGAACGTAAAAAGAAGTCATCTACCATGAAATCGATCTTTCCGTTTGTTGACAGCAGTGTACATATCATATGTCTCTGCACAAGTTGGACATTTTATTTGATATTCGTATGGATAAGACTTCTGACGTGTCTTCAAACAGCATTTCGTGCAAATGATATGCCCACATTGAAGAGCAAACGATTTCTTTGCCTCAATTTCGTTTGAATCTAAAGCAAAATTTTTTAAAGCAAGTCATCAAACCTACATTCATCATGACAAATTGGACATTCCGGAATTTTGAAAGGCTAAAAGAATCACGATGATTTGTAAATCCCAAATCCAACCTTCACAAGCAAATATCCCATTGGAGTAAACATCAAAGCGCTTTCTTGTGACAAAACATCTAAAATAATTTGACTAATCAGCTTTCACTCAAAACAAAAATCAGAATCAAACTCACCAATCAAAAAGTAGGCAAGGTCTTGGCTGTAGAAACAGTAAATATTTCCACATTGATGATTTCTCTCTTCTTGTTCCAACATCTCCTCTTGCTCGAAACACTCATCACACATGGCCAATCCACAGCCCAACTGACGTGGAGATCGACGTTGATTAGCAACTCGAGCATCTAAAAGATTGGAAGATAAAACAAAAACCCACTTATTTACGCTTTAAAATCTAGATTATTTCGAAATCCATAACTGAAAAGCAAAAACTTACACGGTTGCTTGCAGAGAATGCAGCTGAGCGATTCAAACACCCTCATTTCCTAAAAAGAAAGCATTAGAATTATTGAACAATCAACAAAAAAAGATGAACGCAAGAAAGAAATCAAATTGAGAGTTTGTGTGTTGAGGGTGGTAAAATTGAGAGAATATTTTTAACTCTACCTAAACTTTTAACGAACTTTTAGATGCTTGACAGCAAAAGCTGTGTTTTTCCAAAATAATATAAACACGGGTCTTTTGAAAACTTTTTGAAAGCGACTGCTCGAAAGTTAACCGGCTTCTTTCCCTTTTCATATTTGATTGAATATGTTGAGATTAAAGTCTAAACCATAAGATATTCAGAGAGCAGATACCGTAAAAGGTTTAATAGAAGAACCCCCTATAGGAGCGTCGCGTAGTCTAAGTTTACTCTCAAACAAACGCTCATTTCTCGACACCAGAACGTTTGTTTCTGCGCGCTTGGGTATCAAATTAACAATATAACACATATTTTTAGCATTAACCAGCGCTTAGAACCAAATGATTGAAAAATGATGAAAAATCGGTTTTTTTTGTCACTTTTGTCTTGCAAAAAATCACCCATCCTCTCTACTTTAATTTGATACCCAAGCGCGCGAAACAAATGTACTGGTGTCGAGATATGAGCGTTTATTTGAGAGTAAACTTAGACTACGTGACACTCCTATAGGGGTTCTTCTATTAGAGCTTTTACGGTAATTTGCTACTTTTCTCGATTGACTGAATATTCGGTGATTTTTTTAACTTCTTACGTCATTTTTGGACACATCGATTTCCTTTACGAACTTCAAACGAGAAAAACAATTTCAGAGCTCGTTACCGCTTTGTGGAATTCATTTGTTCGCCCGAAAAGACTTCATAGATTCTTAGATTCTTTTTCCTTTGCTTACTCTTTCAACTCCATGGTCTTCGTATGGTTTGAGCTTGTTTTCTGGTTTCAATCTATCACAATGTAATTTTGTCGTCACCTGTTTGAGAAACAAAAACTGACCTCTAGCCTGAACTTTTTCTGGTTTGTCTCAGCCTCTCACGCCACCATTTCTACAATTCTCATCTGGCTCTTCACTGAACCAGATCGCAAATTTCTCATCAAGATGCTTCAAATTAGTCACTGTTTGAGAAAAAAGCCAACTCAAGTAACTTCGAACAACTGGTTAGCTCACTGAGATATTAGAGAACTCACAGATAACTTTGTGATTTGTACTCTACTCCTAAGTTCTTTTATCAGTGTGCATAAGAAATCTGATGATGCGTATCATAAACAAGTATTTGAAAGATATGTGCTCTTCGTTAATGTAATGTGATCGTCTCAAATTGGGCTCCATAAATGTGAGAAAGATTGGCTTGGTGGGACTGAAATATCAAACATCTTGGCTTGTCATGAGTTTTATTTTGTACCAAATTTGTAAATTAACAATTGTCAAGCTCTGGTTCTTTTACGAATTTTCTGTTTCCCTCTACCCAAATGCGGTTGTTTGATCCGAAAAGCGATGAAAAACACTCCATCGCCCTTCTGTTGGATTGGAGCATAAGTATTGATTACCTGTTCGAAGCTCAATTTCTCAGAAATCAAGCAAATAAGCTGGTAAAAATAAACTGAGATTATCTTAAAATCCCAATCAACTCACCTTGGCTTCCGCATCGAATTTGCACAAATGACGCAAGTAATTCTCGGCGGATGATTCGAATGTTGATTTCATTTGTCTAAAGAAAAATGCTGTATGATTTAAAGTGGCAAAGCATACGTGAATGATGCATGTTTCTCCCCGAAATCGGCAAAAATTGATGCGCCCTTGAGAGTTTCTTCTTTCGAAAGCAATTTCTAAAGAAATATCGACTTCAATCGGTTTTATTTGATAAAAATGCCGTTTCAAAGATGTCAATGCCCTCGAGAAGTCCCTTGTGTAGTTCAGGAACCAAATCCTTGTACGTTTTGATGACATTTCTTGACTCTTGTTGAAGGTCCGTGAACATTTGATCAGCCTAAACACATGAAATTAATATGGCACGACTTTCAATTTCAAACCAACAACGAAGTGCAAAAGATACCTGCTTTTCCAATAACGGAATGGCTTTATGCGAACGATGTTTTTTGTAAGCACAAGCGTCACAAATCTATAAATAAAAAAGAGCTTAATCAATATTAACAATAGCTTACTTCAAAACCACATTCACCGCAATAAAACATTTAGTCGACAATACCCTAAAATATCTCCATAGAAATCAAGTGAAGTAAGCATACCTTTTTGTGACATTCACTGCAGCTAGGATCATCTTCGGAACTCGTTAAAGCATTCATTACAGCATGCAGCAAAGCTTTCATTTTTGGGTTATCCATCTGTTTCATCTGCCTAGTCATTTCGGGCAGCTCATTTAGAAAGTCTAAAGGAAAATTAGTGAATGTAAAGAGAATTCATCTACATTGAAATCTATCTTTCCGTTTGTCGTCAGCAGTGTACGGACCATATGTAAGTGTACAAGTTGGTCACTTGATTTCATAATTATAAGGGGTCTTCAAACTGCATTCCATGCAAATGATATGCCCACATTCAAGAGCAAACGATTTCTTCACCTCAATTTCATTTGATTCTAAAGCAAGGTTTTTTCAAGAAAATCATCAAACTCTCATTCATCATGACAAATTGGAGATTCCGGAATTTTGAAAGGCTAAAAGAATCTTTATTCTTTGTAAGTCACAAGTCCAACCTTTAGAAGCAAATATTCCATTGAAGTTCACACCAAAGAGTTTTCTTGTGACAAAACGTCTAAAATAATTCGATTTATTAATCTCGCTTTTACTTGAAACCAAAAAACATAACAAAACTCATCAATCAAAAAATAGGCAACGTTGAGCTTATCGAAGCAATAACGAAGTTCACATTTATGCCTTCTTTCTTCTTCGTCCATTTCTTTCTCTTTCTCGAAATATTCAGTGCAGATCGCCAATCCACACTTCAAAGGTCGGGAGATCGAGGTCAAATGGGGAAATCGGCAACTAAATGTCGCAAATCAAACAAGAAGACATTCCTCCCATCCAATCGCGACCGATTAAAATCCATTACTAAAATGTAAAATTACACATCTTTCCAATAAACCCTCTTTCAAAATGAGAGCACGACATCAACCAAAAAACAATGAAAGGTTGTTTTTCAAACCCTATTTTGCGCGCCCCGAAAAATTAAAATAATTTTAAAACGCAAATACACCAACCTATAGAGCTTATTTAAAGCTTTCAGAATCACTATAACACTTCCAGTCTACGATGGAAAGGCTCGGAGTTATAGCTCTTCAAAAATGGAGAAAATTCGCGAGGTGATAATCTTTTGTCCAGTACTGCATATGCCCAAGACGGGCGAGTTGCCTGATGAGGATTAGGAGGATTGAGCCATTTACAGTGTTGAGACATAATGTGAACTAAAATTTGTGGTATTTTGGATCTTGGTCTCGAAATCGAGAATCAACATTCGAATTTTCAATTGTCTGAATTCAGCATTTCACCAGCATTTAGGACAGTGTCTTACAGTTAAAAAGAACTACTTGCAAAGTGTATTTTGCTTTTAAAAGCTATCAACACAGCACCATGATTATGCTGAATAAATCACAAGGTTTCGACGCACAATCTTAGTAGCATTGTGGAATTGTAGAGTTAGGCGATTATAGGCTGCTTGATAGAGATATTATTATAGAAACAAAGTTTGAGGAATTACTAATTAGTATCACTCTGTTTTGATCATAGCTTAAAGGGATAGCGACGCATAGAAAATCGCAATCACCGATTGCCAATTTCTTTTCATGTCATTTTCAAAACTCGTTTATTCCACACTTCTTCCTTTCAATTCCAAAACGACAAAAACACAATAAAACAAGTTAAGTTTATGAATCTGAAAAATGATTTGAGCAATGACATGTCTCCGCAAGATTCGTTTTTGAAGACAATGGAAAAGTTTTTGACTTCTAAAGCTAGAGTTCGATTAGGTGAATTATGAACTAACCTCGTTCGAGTCTCGTCTTCTTTTTTCTCTTTCATCATTTCTTCTTGAGTCAGCTTTTTTGGATCAACAGCTCGACCCTGAAGAACAACGGCCACACAAGCGGTGCTTGTTATACCCAAACATAGCACAACGTAGATACCTGGAAATAGCTACAAGATGATTTATAAGTTTGTATGAACAAGTTTTTTGAACCACTGATAAATACAGAGTTTTGATCAATTTTTAAGATTTGTTATTGGCTTGTATGTATGTTTTTATGCGATCAACTTCACTTTCTGATTGAATGAAGCTTACCTACGTGTGATTTTTAAGAATATTATAGAATTTATTACTGGGATTTCAATTTAATTAGAAATCACCGTAAAAACTTTAGAATACATCTCGGTCTTATCCCAAAATTTGGTGATTTTGTTAGAAAACAAACCCAACAAGGGAAAAACAGAAGTTTTCGGAATAGCGGTCGACAGCATGTCCAACAATACAGTTATCGCGACAAGAGTTGTCAAACCGATGCTCAACTAAAATTCACTTTTTGTTTGCCTTCATTTTAAAAGCAATTCCCTTTTCTGTGATTACTTTGGTGAGTTGCTCCTTTCGAATGTGAGGCGTCCAAAACATCCCAAAAATCCCAAGCATTGTCAGGATGAAACCCGGTAAAGCGATCACATAAACATAGTAGTTGGGAACTCTCTTGAGGAAGATTGTTGGGAGAAGCTAAAGGAATGCTTTCTCGATTAACTCACAACAAAAAAACATGTTAAACCAACCAGTGTGTGAACAGTGTCGGTCAGAAATTGATAGGGTATCATTGCCACACCACTCACATCCCATTCACCATTTCCCTAAAGAGCTTTTTTTGAAGTTAAAATATTTCCAACAAGTTACCAACAAATTGAACACATTAACGTTTTGAATTTTACCGCTCATCGATGAGTACTGACTGAAAAAAGATCTGTTAACCGATCAGCTCACTTTCGACACTTTGTTCTATTGATCTTTTTATCTTTATCTTCTATCTTGATTTTTTATCTACAAGTGATTTAAATGTCAATTAGTAAGCGAAGTACATCAAATTTTCAACTGCCTTTCAAGCCTTTCAACTGACCCATTCAAATCCAAAGCCATCGCAGCGACTGGAATCGCGCAAGTTTGATTGTCAAATGGAAATCGAGAAATCTAGAGAAAAGCTATTGAACAGATAATGAGCAGCTTTACTGACAAGGGAAACAAATATACTTACGGACGCCGATTGTCCCCAAAATTGGTGGGTAGTAGAATCGACTCTGAGGAACAACATATTAAAAATTCAGCTGCAAAGCCCCAAGATTACGGTAGTTATAGTGTTTTTAATTTTTGGTAAAATTTGAGCGGCAATGGGGTCTCTCTCCGCAACGATATTAGGGCTAGTTGGCACGGTGGAGCCATTGCGCGGTGGTGTAGTGGTAGCGCGTTCAGTCGCAAAGCGGAGTCTCCGGGGTTCGAGTCGGTTTTTGAGATACTGTTTTTGCCATTTTTGCCGCACCATCGAACCATGTTTGGAGGAGAAAGGGTATGTGATCAAATAGTGCAGAGACGATTTTCTCGATAGATAGCGTTGATAATCGTTATAACAACCGTAATCTTGGAGCTTTGCAGCTGAATTTTTAATTGGATTGGAGCAGGTGTTGTTCCCCAGAGTTTCTACCTACCCACTAGACTTGCTTAACGAGAAAGATCAAAAAAAATTGGGTCGCGCTAGGCGCTTGATCTAGCCTTCAGAGCATCGGATTCCAATGAACTTTTTTTTGGTCTCATTAATTCTGGATAAGGATTGTCTCGTTAAGTCTCGGTAAGGTTTTTCGCCCACTCTTTCAAAAGAAAAAGATAAGTGATGAGTATCATTAGATAGCGTGAAATCAATTTTTAAATTAAAAAGCTCATTGGAATCCGATACTCTGGAGGCTAGACTAATCGTCCTGGAGTTGCGCTGACTCATTTGCCTCGTTAATTCTCGTTAAGCAAGTCTACTCCCCACCAATTTTGGGGGTAATCGGCGTCCGTAAGCATATGTGGTTCTCCTGTAAGATCACTTTTAACATCAAGCTTACTTCGACAACACAAGCAACTTCAGCAAAATAGACCATAGACATATGAATCGTTCCGTTACTCGAGAGAACGATCGTTTTCATTGAGTCCGGATGAAGAGTGTCTAGTGATTTTCTGGAAACATTCGGTAAGTGAACCACTTGAAACAAAGCTTCAACCACAAATAATCGATTCTATTCTGAATTTGGTATTTAAATTTTTACGTGTTTCCAATTTGATTATCCGGTGTCCAAATGAGATCAGCAGTGACAAAGATGAACTTGGTGTCGTTGAAGTGCTCTGGGCTCCACGATAATCTTGGATCGACCCAGCTCTAGAAGTTTGGGCTACAAAGTTTTCGGACTCCCTCGACTACCATTTCAAACTCGCAGAAGAAACTAATAATTCTGATTCTCTACGTCCTAGAAATCGAGAAAGCTTTTCTATTTGACCAAACAACTCACCAAACGCCAAAATACTTTAAATAGCGAAGAATCATGTCCACATGTAAACGGGCCACATTACTGCCTGAAAACTATTTCAAAAGTGAGGACTGTTGCTTAACAACCAACTAAACTTGTCAATTAATATTATCCAAATTTAAGGGTTGAGTTCAAAAGCTTCAAAAGCCAACAAACTATTGAAATCAACGGGCATTCGTCCATAGAGTGGAGCCAGAAATCGATTGTAGTTTCTTCTAGTGAATATCTCATTGAAAACAGCTGCCGCATCATACCATCCACAACGAGTACTCTTCTGAAAATTTCTTTAAGTTCTCTAGAAAAACTAGTTTGCTCTTCAACCTGGATAACCGATCGTTGTATAAGCTCAAACTGAGCCATGAACAAACTAGGAAGCAAAATGAAAATAAACAAGAGAATCATCGAGAAGAAATGAATTGAATTATGTTTTTTGACTTGTCAATTGTTGAGTTGAGTGAACTCGTTGAAATTTGAGCTCACCAAGTGACGCCTTTTTCTTCGAAAGACCCCAAACGACCCATTGGGCTCAATTTTTGATGAACATTTTCTCACAAGAAACTTGGGTAAATAAGAGAAATAAAAGCTATTTTCTCTAGTTTTTAAGATATTTCTTTGTTTTTTACTAAAGATCAAACGGTAACAAACAATAAAAAAATATTCAGTCAAGAGTTAATATTAAGCTAAACATTCTCAGGCTTTTTATACAATCGTTTCTTTCTTTCAATTACCCAACTTTGGGGACCAAGATTGGCGCAAAAGTCTTTACAATCTTTTTTAGATTTTTTTTGATTCGAGTAAACGTGTCTTCATAACTTCATAACTTTTTGAAATAGATGACAGACATAGATAAATATTACAAATCTACTTCTAAGGTTGCTATCTCGAATGGGTTTGAGTACTTTTAGAGTTGATTTGAAATTTGTATTTTATTGAATAAGAGTGAAATTGGATTAGACTTTATTACAGTTAGCACATTTTAACAAAATGATTTCTCCTAATTTCCGTATTCACGCTGATAGCTGGGTTTTTCCTGGATGAAAGGCTTCAATGATGGCCAAAACATTTGAGTAGACTCCGGCGCAGATGGCACAAATTCCGATACAGACACAGAAGCAGTTCCAAAAAACTTTCGAGATACTTTGACAATATCCCATTGAACGCTAAATATTTATATAGAGCTTTCTGATTTGGTTGGAGATATGGCTTAGCTGTGAAGTTTCTCAGGTTCTCTAGAAAGCTCAGGGATTTTGTAAAAGTCAATTTGCATCATCAAAACAGTTCAGATGTGTAGTAAATTTGCAAATGTATTGCTTTGTAGATTTTCAAGCATAGCTACTCAAAAGAGCATAATGTATTATTTGAATCGATGACTTATTTGGTGTCCATCAAAAGAATGTGCTTAGTTATATTTAATTGTATAAGTAGTCAACCTTTCTTTCCTTTCTCTTTAAATCTTATTTATAATTTTTATAGTTAAATTTTATTTTGACGATAGGTGGAGTAGACGAGAGTACAAAGAGTCACGGGGTGACACAAAGAGTCCTTAAGGAGCTAGCGATTTTTTTCGAGAAAATGTTACCAAGCGCTTTAAAGCGTGGTAAAACTACCGTACCCTCCGAATTTGCATGGAGGAAATGCGCGAAATTTCATTTTTTAATTCTGGTTCATTTCATTTTATTCTTTTTGCGTTTTTCTGATGTTGAAGCGGGTTTGTTTTTGTAGGAGACAAAGCTAAGTTCATTTTTTTAGTAGTATTTTCTGTATGGAAGCTTGTTTGACGTTTTTTAAGACCCACTTGTTTTCCGACGATCTGCTCCACAAACTTGGGATGCCAACTAATGTTAAGTTAGGCGGTTTCTATCACTTTCGGTGACGAAAGCTTTGTTTTTGTTACTTTTTATCACGCTTTAAAGCGCCAACCCAAGATTCTCTCGGAAAAGGGTCGCAAGGGCTAAATTGAACTTTACGGTCCAAAAGGGTAAAATTCAAAATCGAATTGCTTTGGACTAAACTTTTTCCCATCATTATTTTTGTCTTATTTGTGCATAATTAGACCTAGTAAAGTATAAAACTGGTTTTGAATATGTTTTTGATCTTTTTAAAACATTGTTTAAATTTGTTGCAAGATCATATTCCCAATCTAATAATTGATTAAAAACAAACCTGCCATTCGTGCCAAAATGTCAAAATTTCGAATAGCGGTGGGTATACGAGAGCACAAAGTGTCCCCGATGTGACCCCAACCAACGGGATCATTATTTCGAGATTTGGTATACCGATTGCCAAAAAATACGTTAATAGTATCCTAAACAATCTGTAAACTGGTTCTTATCGAAATATTATAAGAGATTTAAACCTGTATCCCTTTATCCAAGAGAATTTTGTCATGTTTTAGTAACGCCTCAAATCCCCTTCGCCGAAAACCCGGAGATAAAAGACTTTGATGATGACAAAGAAAAGTGTTAAGTTGAAAGCCTATGAATGAAAAGTTACCTACAAAAGCAAATGAATGCACGAGAACAGTTTGAATCATTAGAGAAACATTGACAGACGAGTAGAGTCTGAATTGATGGACAATTGATCAACCTGATCAAAAGCGGGAAAATTATGAACAATGAGCTTTTGCTTTTGCTCGATACACACAAACACATTTGAGTATCTTTTATTAATATCTTCGTAGGGTTTTCCAAGATGCAAAGCTTATTAGCTTGAGGATCTCACTTTTCGAGAAGCTTACTCACCCATCTTGGGCACATTACTCGTGATAGATGGATCTATTTTATCCCCAAAACCGGTATATCTAAACGAAGCATTGTATAAAATTTCAAAGAAAGTTTAGAATTGAATAATGTCGTGTAGGGCTTACCCAAAAAAGCCAAGCCCTGTCAGCGATTGATCCACAGGTGAGCATTGCCGTCGACAGGACGCTACACTCGATAAAAAGTCCTCCGGATGCTTTAGAATGTTCTCAACGGGTAAAATCTAAAGCAGAATCTATATTTGATTAACAACCACTTCAAACTCAATCATAGTCTGCCCTTCAAACGAGTATTTCAAAATCCTGATCATCATCGTTGTCCTGGTGAAGTCGGTGAAGTGGGCAGCTTGTCCTATTGTGTTGGCTGTCGAAACGCGAATTGCAAGATAACAATCATACTGATTGCAAAAGAAGATAGAAAAATTTGAAATCAACCTTTGAAATAGGATTGAAAAAAAATGAAATGAAATGATTTTTAAGAGAACCTACGTAAAGAACGTGATAACTTTCATCGACGGGAACATGTTCACAAAAATGACGAAAACGAGAGAGATTGTACAGGCTATCATCATCTGAAAAAAACCCATACATATGGGGAAAAAAGAACCAATAATCTAGCTGGCGGGATTGGACCCTTGACCTCCCGCCCCTCTAGCCAGTCGCTCATGGCGGCCAGGAATTGGAAACTTGAGTCTGGTACACCCTATTCACTATACTTTTAAAAACTAACTAGTGCACCAATTAATCTACAGTTTTTGCAACAATCAAAAGGTCTATTTATTCTCTAAAACAGATTCTTTGACAGATTTAGAAAAGCTTCTATTTTGTAGATTTCCTAGGGGACAAGAAGTTGAGAAACCAAAAATGATGAACACTCGATGAAGCGATTTGAACGATTCTTCCCACAACCTATTTTGGTGCCAATACAAAAAGTGAGAGCCTTAGAAAAGTTAGATAAATAGCCAAATTTTCAGATAGATCTAATCAATCCTTTTGTTATATTGAGTAGGTGGGCATGACTTGCCTAGAACTTCAAGATAGCTCTTGAACATCTCAAAACTCATGGTTTGTTCTCACCAGAAAGATCTATCTTTTTTCTACAAAATTGCTTTTAAGATATTTCAAAAGCTTTCTCTTATAGGATCTATTAAATCCCAAATCACAGTGGTCAAAATCGCAAGGAGTCCGACTTGCCGCTTTGACCTTTTGTTAACCACATTCGTTTGGCCTTCTTTGCGCTGAGGCTCTGCCTCTTATTCCCCTTAAATGCCATTTTGGGTAGAGAATTAATTAATTAATTAATTAACCTTTCCATTTACATATCAAACGCGTATCATTTGACAAATTCTGCTAATGAAGTTTTAGAAATTTCTTTAATTTTTGTGGCAACCCAATAGTTCCATTTGCAGAATTTTCCTGAAAATTGAATTGCTTTAATTCTCTCAAAAGTTGCACCCAAATTTGCTTAAGCATGTCTAAAATTTGATAATATATAACTCTTACATAGGAGAAGACTCTAATATGGCGTATCAAATGTTTTATGGACAATGCGAAAAAGAGTACCAAATTTCCAAGTTGCCAATCGAATAAATAGAGACTTGATTTATTAATAATGGTTCTATTAAAAGATTTAAGCAATTAAATAACTCCAATAATTTAATAATAATTTAATAACCTAGTCTAAGGATAAATTAAGTTTAACATAAAAACCCTTAGCAATCAGTGTGAGGAGAGAGTGCGTGGTAATTCTTTGCTTTGTATAGACAGTCCCCGCTAGGGCTGGATATGGAACCAATTGTAAGAAATCTCAGAACATTACTTACAATTACATTATCTAATATAAAAACTGAATAGTTAATTAAATTAAGTCTATAAAATTTGATTACCCGCTCGTGTTATGTTGATCCAAGGTGCTCACCGAACAGGTTGACCTGGAATCTCTTTTAAGAGGCTGCTCTGCTCATGAAAACTCTGCCATGTTATCGGAAATGAACAAAATCGATACACTGCAACATTCCCACTTCTATAGAACAATATTGACCGATATCGACGAAATAACTATAGTTTATAGATAAAGATATAGAGCACATTCACTCATAATAATAGGCATAGTCATTTTTCGGAGCATTTCAAACTCCGAATCCTCACAGACTTTTTTTGCAAAATGCCCATCTAATCTAATGTAGGCTGGTTGTTTGGATCCGAAAAGACTTTACATTTTTTTCTTTTTAAAGCTACTTTTTTGTGAGATGTTGACTTGATTCGACAAGAATGTGATTTCCATACCAATTGAAACAAAGAATTAGAAATGAGCCTCCGCAAAGGAAACCTGAAACCTTTATGTCTAATTTTATGTTTATTTAAGAAAACATGGAATGCTTTACCAAAAGTCTTAATCACAATCCACCACGCTTCCATGCATACGGCAACGAGAAAATATCCGGACAAGAACATCGCTTTCGATAGGGTCATCACAGCCCCAAGTTGAACTAGAACAGCTTAGACTGGTCTTGAACTTGTTTATTTAAAATTCCAAATCGCATAACAATAGCCAACATCTCCTTTACTAAAACAAATTCTTAATATCTGTGCTCACCTAATCACATCACCTTTCCTCTCTCCCATCCTCCATTCGTATTTCGGT